TCCACACCTCGCCAATGGAATAGTTTCAATCTAATTACGCACTGGCCTCCTTTTTTGTTCTCTCTGGGCCTCCCCAGTCACGCCACCCCCTCTCTGGGCTCCCCAATAATGCCCCCCCTCTGGGGCTTCCCAGTAGTGCTGCCCCCTTTCCGGGGCTCACCATGCCCACACTGGGGCTTCTCTGTAACTGCACCCTTCTCTAGGCTTTTGCCCCCTCTCAGGGAGCTCTGCCCTCTCTTGGGGCCTTCTCTGTCAAGCCACCCTCTCTCTCAGGCCTTTGCCCCCTCTTAGGCACTCCTGGATACTGCCGCTCTCTCTCTGGGGCCTTCTCTGCACATCGCCCCCTCAGGCTCATCATGCCTCCACTGGGGCTTCTCAGTAATGCCCCCTTCTCTGGGGCTGGGGTCTATGCACTGCAAATGCTGCGCCCTCACTGGCACTGGGGTCCTCACACTCCACTGTGAGTCCCCTATGAGGCCTCCTCCAACCCCTAATAGCCGCACCCAAACCACCGGTCACAAACAACAACATAACATGCAAGGCCTTCGGCTATAACATAAACAGAGGTCCCCCAGCCCAAACAACATTCAGTCCTACCAGTGACCCTTTAATACAGCTCCTGTATCAAGTTTCCCCTCTCTCCCAGGGCAAAGAGCTCCTTCCTCTTTGGCAGCTGGCAGGGAACTGCCTCTGGCCCCAGCCCCTAGGGTTTATAAGGGCCAGGCCCTGCCCCTTCTGGTCAGCTGACCTTCCCTGGTTGCCCCGGCAACCCACAGCTGGGCTTATTTCCTGCTAGGGCTTCCTCCCCAGCAGTTTTCCCCTCTTTGGGAGCAGGGCACCTCAGTGCTCTGTAACAACGGGGAATGTAGTACTGGATGGTAACTTGAGCAGCAATGACCATGAGATGCTTGAGTTCAGGATCCTGAGCAAAAGAAGCATGGAGAGCAGCAGAATAAGGACCCTGGGCTTCAGAAAAGCAGATTGACTCACTCAGGGAACTCGTAGGCAGGATCACTTGGGAAGCCAGTCTGAGGAGGAAAGGACTCCAGGAGAGCTGGCTGTACTTCAAAGAAGCCTTACTGAGAGGAACAAACCATCCCGATGTACAGGAAGACTAGCAAGTATGGCAGAAGACCAGCTTGGCTTAGCAGGGAACTCTTCATAGATTCATAAATTGTAAGGCTTGAAGGGACCTTGGAAGATCATTGGGTCCAGCTCCCTGTACCAGGCAGAAAAGACAACTGGGATCAGGTGACTCCAGCAAGGTGACTGTCCACTCTCCTCTTGAAGATTTCCAGGGTAGGCAATTGCACCACCTCTGGAGGGAGCTTATTCCATAGTCTGGACACCCTGACTGAAGATTTTCCTAATGTTGAGCCTGAAATGGTCTTCCAGGAGTTTGTAGCCGTTACTCCTGGTTTTCCCCTGGGGTGCCCTGGTGAATAGTTGCTCACCGAGCCCATTATGTATTCCCCTAGTGTAGTGGTAAGCTGCTACTAAGTCCCCTCTCAGCCTTCTCTTTTTCAGGCTGAAGAGTCCCAGGTCCCTCAGCCTTTCCTCATATGGTTTCCTGTACAAGTCTCTGATCATACTAGTGGCCCTTCTCTGGACTCTCTCAAGTTTACCACATCCTTTTTAAAATGCGGTGCCCAGAACTGGACACAGTACTCAAGTTGGGGTCTCACCAATATCGAGTAGAGTGAAAGAATCACTTCATTGGTTTACTGGAGATGCATCGATTGATGCATGCCAGAGTATTATTTGCCCTGCTGGCAACAGCATCGCACTGCAGGCTCATATTCATTCTGTGGTCTATTATTACCCCCAGGTCCCTTTCATTCATGATGCTGGTCAATTTGGCACCACCAAGCCTGTAGGTTTATAGGGGGTATTGTCCCCAACTTTACATTTCTCAATGTTGAACTTCATCTGGCTCTGACTCGCCCAACTTGCTAGCCTATCTAGATCCACCTTTATCTGTAGCCTATCTTCAAGCCTCACCACGCTTCCCCATAACTTGGTGTCATCCACGAACTTGGCCAGTGAGCTCTCCACCCCAACATCCAAATCTTTGATAAAGATGTTGAAAAGTACTGGACCAAGCACCGACCCCTGTGGGACACCACTGGCCACTTCTTGCCTGGACGACACAGATCTGTTCATTAGGACTCTCTGGGTCCTACCCCACAGCCAGTTTCGTACCCATTTAATTGTTTTGCAGTTATGCCCACAATCCTTCAATTTTCTCATGAGAACATCATGGGATACCAGATCAAAGGCTTTTTGGAAGTCAAGGTATACAATGTCAACCTCCTCTCCCTTATCCAGGTGGCAAGTTACCTGATCGTAAAAGAAGATGATGTTGGTAAGATAAGACCTGCCCACAATGAAGCCATGCTTGCTGTTGTTCAGAATCCTACCTTCTGCAAGCGTATCGCATATAAACTCCTTAATGAATTTTTCCAGAATTTTCCCTAGGATAGAAGTTAGGCTACTTGGCCTATAGTTACCCAGGTCCTCCCTCCTCCCCTTCTTGAAGATGGGCCCAACATTGGCCCTCTTCCAGTCCTTAGGGACCTCTCCAGAGCACCACAAGTTTTGGAACAGCTTTGCCAGGGGCTCTGTGATAACTTCAGCCAGCTCCTTCAGCACTCTCAGATGGAGTTCATCCAGTCCTGCTGACTTATATATTTCTAATTTCTTTAATTGATCACACACCAGTTCTATGGCAACAGTAGGTAGGCAGTCATTCCTGCCCTGCTCATTCTATACCCTGTCTGGCATGATTTTCCCCTTGGCCTGGAGAAATACCAAGGCAAAGTAGTCATTCATGAATTCAGTTGTCTCCTGAGTGTCAGTAACCACCTGTCCTGAGTTGTTGAGCAATGGCCAGACACTCCCATTTGTTTTCCTCCTGTTCCCTACATACCTAAAGAAGGACTTCTTGTTGTCCTTGATTCCCGTTACAAATCTAGTTCAGTCACTGCCTCTATATTTAAGTTCAGGTCATCTCCTTTGGCCAGGACCAAGTCTAGGAGAGCATTACCTCTGGTTGGCCTGTGCACCTCCTGAGCCAGGAAGAGCTCTTCAGTGCAGGTCAGGAAGGAACACGACTGGTCCAAGTTGGCCAGGTGCTCCTCCAAAGAGATGTCCGGATAATTGAAGTTGCCCTGATGATCATGTCCCATGCATGTGTGGCCTCTGTCAGTTCTCAAGTGAACTCTAAGAGCGAGTTCCTCCCCCTGGTTTGGTGGCCTTTAGTAAACACCTACAGTTAGGTCTCTCTCTGGGCCCCCGCCCTCCCACCCTGCAGCTTGACCCAGAGGGTTTCAAACCATTTTTCTTTGGAGCCTATGTCGGCCTCCAAGGATGTGTACTGCTCCTTCACATAGAAAATTACACCTCCACCTTTCTTCCCTATCCAGTCACTTCTATGCAGGGCATAGCCCTCTATGGCTATGTTCCAACCATGTGAGTCCCACCAGGTCTCCAAAATCCCTACTAGGCCATAATGCCTACCAGACAGCAGGAGGGCTAGCTCCTCCTGCTTGTTCCCTATACACCTGGCATTAGTGTACAGGCACCTGAGTCCTCCTATTGAGACCCTTGGCTTTCTGTCATGCTGAAGGAGAACTATTCCTTCAGCTCCCACAAGAGTGGCTCTCCTAATGTCTGTATCTATGGAGCTTTCTTGTATATCGGTCCCCAGGCAAGTTCCAGTCAGTGTTTCCCTATCCCCCAGCAATCTTAGTTTAAAGCCCTATCTAGAAGATCAGCCATCCTGGCTGAGAACATGGACATACCTCTCCACGTGAGGTGGAAGCCATCCCTTCCCAGAAGTCCTCCATCCCTGAAGTGTGCACTGTGGTTGAGGAAGCTGAAGCCTTCTTAGTGACAACACCATCAGAGTCATCGGTTATCTTCCTTGATGCATCCTTCCCTCCTAGGACCATGACCTGCAACTGGGAGCACAGAAAAAATGATTACCTGGGCCCCTGACTCCTTGAGCCCAGCCCCCAGAGCACTGTAGTCACTCATGATCCAGTCTGGATTACTCCTGGCCATGTCATTTGTTCCCACATGGATAAAGAGCTTGGGGTAGTAGTCAGAAGGCCAGACTAGCCCAGGAATTAGGGCTGTGAAAAATGGCTATGTTTCAATTTGGTTTCAGATTCAGCTGTTTCAGAGGGACAGTGATTCATTTTGGTGTTTCAGATCAATGTTCCATTTTGATTCAGCTGAATCTGTTTCGGAGTTTCACCGCTGTTTCGGTGATTCAGCCATAGGATATAATGGGGAATGCCTAAACTAAAATGCCTATAACTTTGTCATTTCTTTCCTAATTTAGATGAAAATGGCAGGAATGGTAGCTCCTTCTGAGGGCATGAAGCCTACCAAGTTTCAAGGAGATGGGTGCAGGGGTTTCTATAAAACTGCATCTCAAACTTTTCAAAGTGAAATTCACCTACTGGCAGCGGCAGCATGCTGTCATCCCACATGCAGATCTGGGGGCCCGCGCCCCCTGGGAGGGCTGTGGGACTGTGCCAGAATCCTCCTGGGGGTGCAGGCCCACAGATCTGTGCACGGAATAACAGTATGCTGCCGCTTCCGGCTGGGTCCGGTGCTTGGCGCAAATTGCTCTGAGCACCAGGAGGACTGCTGCTGCTGATGGCTCCAGCCAGCAGTGGCAGCATGCTGTCATCCTGTGTGCAGATCTGGGGCCCTGCTGGGACCCCATGCCCCCCAGGAGGGCTGTGAGGCTATGCCAGACTCTTCCTGGGGGGCGCAGGCCCCCGAATCTGCGCGTGGGACGACAACAGGATCACTGACGGCTGGGGCCAGCACCAGCACTGGTTTCTTTCTGGCACTCAGCGTGGGCTGCACCAAGCAGACTCAGGTGCTGGCACTGGCCCCAGCTGGCAGCAGCAGCCTGCTGTCATCCCACGTGCAGCTCCGCATCCCTTCCCCCTCCTTCTTCGTAGTTTCTGTTTCCCTGCAAGCCCAGCTCCGAAACTCCAAAATTTTCCAAAACATTTTGGATGGTTTCATTTCATTTCAGAGACATTTCAGAGCCTTCTGTTTCATTTCGGATTCAGTGTTTTGGGCGCCAAAACAGGCTGAAACACCTCCGAAATGAAATGGCTGCTGAAGTTTCACATAACCCTACTGGGGATCCTCTCCACAACATCTCGGATACAGGCCCCAGGGAGGAAGCAGACCTCATGGGCTAGGGGATCCAGATGGCGAGAGGACCCTTAGTGCCCCACAGGAGGGAGTCCCCCACCACCACCACCTTGCGCCTCCTCTTGGGGATGGCAGCACGCTGCTTACCTTCCTCCTCCTCCTTGGGTGTCACCACTGGAGCCTCCTCATGTGTGGGAAGGGGAGCATACCTGTTGTGCAGGGCCAGGGGAAGAGCAACCCTGGTCCTACATTTCTTGGAGCCTGAGGTGACCTTGGTCCAGCTCTGGGCAGGTGTTGGTTAGCCTTCTTGTTGGCCTTCTCGTTCAGTAAACTAAATCATGGAAAGGAAGCTTATAAGAAGTGGAAACTTGGACAAATAACTAGGGAAGGATTGCTCAGGCATGCAGGGATAAAGTCAAGAAGGCCAACGCGCAATTGGAGTTGCATCTAACAATGGATGTGAAGAGCAACAAGAAGAGGTTCTACAAGTATGTCGGTAGCAAGAGGAGGATCAGGGAAATTGTGGGTCCCTTACTGAATGGGGGAGGCAACCCTGTGACAAAGGAAAAGAAAAGGCTGAAGTGCTCAATGCCTTTTTTGCCTCCATCTTCACAGGTAAGGTCACCTCCCAGACAACTGCATTGAGCAGCACAGTTTGGAGAGGAGATAAGCACCCCTCAGTGCTGAAAGAACAGGTTAGTATCTACTTAGAAAAGCTGAACATGTACAAGTCCATGGGACTAGATGGGATGCACCCAAGGGTGCTGAGGGAGAAGGAGGATCCAGGGAACTACAGACCAGTCCGCCTTGCCTCAGTCTCTGATAAAATCATGGATCAAATCCTCAAGGAATCCATTTCTAAGCACTTGGAGGAGAAAAAAGGTGATTATGAACAGTCAGCATGGATTCACCAGGGGCAAGTCAGCAACCTGATTGCCTTCTATGATGACGTGACTGGTTCTGTGGATGTGGGGAGACTGGTGGATGTGGTTTACCTTGATTTTAGAAAGGCTTTTGATACGGTCTCCCACAGCATTCTCTCAGGTAAGCTACGGAAGTCTGGGCTGAATGAATGAACTGTAAGATGGATAGAAAACTGGCTGGAGCATTGGGCTTAGAGAGTAGTAATCAATGGCTCAATGTCTAGTTGGCAGCCGGTATCAAGTGGAGTGCCCCAGGGGTCAGTCCTGGGGCTGTTTTTGTTCAATGTCTTCATCAATGACCTGGAAGATGGCATAGAGTGCACGGATAATACCAACCAGGGGGGGAGTAGTAGGTATGATGTAGTGGAGAGCTCAGATTCAGAGTGACCTAGACAAATAGGAGAATTGGGCCAAAAGGAATCTCATGAGGTTCAACAAGTACAAGTACAAAGTCCTGCACTTAGGATGGAACAACCCCATGCACAAGTACAGGCTGGGGGCTGACTGGCTGGGCAGCACCTCTGCAGAAAAGGACCTGGGGGTTTCATAGTTTCATAGTGGACAATAAGCTGAATATGAACCAACAGTGTACCCTTGTTGCCAAGAAGGCTAATGACATACTAGACTGCATTAGTAGGAGCATTGCCAGAAGATTGAGGGAAATGATTATTCCCCTGTGGTCAGCACTGGTGAGACCACATCTGGAATACTGTATTCAGTTTTGGACCCACCACTACAGAAAGAATGTGGGCAAATTGGAGAGAGTCCAGTGGAAGGCAACAAAAATGGCAAGGGTGCTGGAGGACATGACTTATGAGGAACTGGTCTTATTTAGTCTAAAGAATAGAAGACTGGGGGGCAATTTAATAGCAGCCTTCAACTACCTGAAGGAGGGTTTGAAAGAGGATGGAGCTGGACTGTTCTCTGTGGTGGCAGATAACAGAACAAGGAGCAATGGTCTCAAGTTGCAGCAAGGGAAGTTTAGGTTAGATAGCAGGAATAATTTTCTCACTAGGAGGGCAATAAAACACTGGAACAGGTTACTAGAGAGGTAGTAGAAGCTCTTGGATATTTTCAAAACCTGGCTAGACAAAACTTTGGCTGGGATGATCTAGTTGGGGATGGTCCTGCTTTGAGCAGGGGGTTGCACTAGATTAGTGTTTCTCAACCTGTGGGTCATGACCCAAAAATGGGTTGCAAGATTATGTGAAAGTGTGGTGAACAAGCTTTAAAAATGGATTCTCCTATGAAAGAAGAAAAACATAGGAAGCCGTGGGTTTTCCTTGCAGCCTGGCAGAGTTCCAACCTGCAAGGGTCTGCTTGCCCCCCGCCCCCATACCCTACACACCCATCCCATGCCCCATGTACTGGGGAGCTGGGGCCTGGGGGCAGTGGATCGGGAGTGAGGGGCACTGGGTCAGGACTGGCCATTGACGTTTTCAAATGCATCGTGGTACAAAAAGAGTTGAGAACCACTGCACTCGATGACCTCCTGAGGTCCCTTCCAACCCTAACTTTCTATGATTCTATGAAATCAAGTCTACTGGAATTTTTGTGTTTGCTCCAGAATTTTCAAAATTACCCTGGAGTAAAGTATATAGCCAACACAATTATTTTTCACAGCTCCATCCAGTTTGATATGTATTATTATTTCATATTAATCTTGTAGTAGCATTGAACATCACTTCTTTTGGTGGTTTTATCTCCCCAGTTTCAGATCAGCAGAGTGCCACTTTGTGTTTCACATTTTTGGAGAATCTAATAGTAATGAGGAAATTAAAGGTCAGACTCACTAATGGAACAAAACAAAGGACAGACAATAAGCAGGAAATTCCATGGTAGAACCTCCTAGCTCATCAGATCACATTTCTAAGGGACAGCTCTGTTTCTCCCTCCATCTGTACAATTGGCTAGTTATCTTGCTAAGAACTGATGGATCTTTACATCCTAAATGAATTTCTTTTTCTTTTCTTTTTTTTAGAGACATGCCACACACCTTTACCATAATACCTTGATCACACCATTTTGCCTAATGTTATTGCTTGCAGTTCATAACATTGTTAGAATTGAGAAAGGAGAGAAAATACCATATATTTTCTCTCATTTAATTACTTTGTCTACAGTCAGTTTAAAATGTTTTGCCTGATGATTGAGTTATTTTCCCTTATTTGTATGACTCTTTCACACAAAAGATAGAAAGGGAAACAAAGCAGAGGGAAAATATTAGGAGCTGAGATGATAAAACACAGTAGTAAGCAAAGGTCTCAGAGCAGGGGTAGTACCTCAAGCAACTTCTAATTCATTATTTGACATTCACTGAACTTCAAACTTGATATGCCCTTTTTAAAAGGTAGCTGGGGAACAGTAACCAGACACCTGGGAAGCCTGAGAGCCAAGAATTGAGCAGCCTTGGGAGCTGGCTGTTGTGGAAGCCAACTGGCTAGGATGTGGGAGAAGCCAGGGAAATGGCCACCTGGGAAGCCAGGCAGTCTGGGAGTGAGATGTTCAGAGATCCTGGAGAGCTAGGCATGCAGGGACCTGGCTGTATGGCAGAGTAGCGAATAGGAAATCAAGGAAGTGGGGAGTCTGGGAACATCCCAGGCTGGGAGTGTAGAGATCATGGGGAGCTTGGCCACTCCTGGACTGGTTTCCATTGAAAGTTGCAATGGAATAAACAGATTCCCATGGAACATTTTAGTTTCATCAAATCAACATCTTCCAACATTAAACTGCTATGCCAAAAAACTTTTTTTTTTAACCAGCTTCATTGAAGAAGCAATCTGCTGCCTGCTGCAGGTACCTGTTGGCTGAGGCTGATTGTGTTGATTTCCCTATTGATCAAATGCTTCATCCCA